TAAATAATTCAAATGTTTAATTATTTCATTATGTCTTCTGGGATAAGCCCTTGTTTATAAGCATATCTTACTAGCCGTAGCTAAACCTTCATCGATTATCATCATACCAGTATCATAACCATTATAATCTAGCTTGGGTGGCAGTGCTTTAGTTATCATTTTACCTATGCGAGCATAGCCTTTAGCTTGGCCACTAACGACTGCTGAATGATACGCTGCATCTACCAACATTTTACGGACTGTAACTGGAGGAGTCATGCTCTATAACATAACATGAGGGTTTAACTCTAATTGAACCTCGTCCAAATTTTTAACTGGTGGTGTTTTCTCTCTTTGCCAGTCTAAATAAACCATACCACTGCTATAACAACTTCCTAGTGCATAGGAAGCCCAAGTTTTAATTCTTTGTGTACTGTGTTCAGTATTTGGATTGTGGAGTAGTTTTGCCTTCCTGGCGAAAGCCCCACTTTTACACGCTGCTGCATTTCTGGGGTTCTTAGTCACTGTCACAACTTTCTCGTTCACTATACTTGTGGCGTTTCTGCATTCACTTGTGGTATTTCTGCCTCCATTGTTATTAGGTGGGCGCATATGTTTCAATTGATAATGCTTAACCGTTATGATAGCAGTGGTAAATGGTGCTAAGAAATTTCCGTATCTATGGTAAAATACACAGCTTACTGCGCCTAAAGCATGTTCAACAAATGGGTCTTTCTCGGGAGATTTGCATAGATACAGACGATTTTCTGATGGGGTAGGAAGAAACGCACTAGCTACAGCTGTGTAAAGTTGTACCAAAGCCGAACCTATTATTTTATTTAAGGTAGCTCCAAGTCTACACTCATAACTCGCATATAGTTTTTTAATGTCTTTATCGGTCATGTTATCAAGTTATTGTAAGCATTTGGAGCATTTTCCACCAGCCACCAAAGCCGCAAGTCTTTCTCAATGTTGTTCTGTAACTACAGGTTCTGGCTCATCTGGAAGCAGTTGTTCAAGAAGTTCATCAAATTCCATCTTTTTGATAAGATACACTAGCCGATATTTAAGTCTAATATAACGAAATATGAAATATCCAATACAGTCAAAATGATAAACTGAACCTCTTTATTTAGATACGTAACTGTATCTGTGTTCACCACGTTTTGTAACAAAAGCCCTATTCATCTAGAAATGAAGTTTTTCCTTTAGTTTGTCACGTAGGGTAGTGTTGGACACAGTTGAAAAATCAAATATTTTATGACAGAATGGAACTTGGTTCTGTTCTGACATTGCCCAAAGTCAAGCCAATCCTTTGAGTTTTTTGAGAATCCACATGTTTAATTAATTGTGTCAAATACTTTCTGTGACTATAAAGAAAGTCATTCCTTGATTGTATTAGGGATTATGGTCAGTCTTTGAGACAGGGATTTGGTGGTACATTTGCTGGACCCAGCAATATATCGCTCTTTGTAAACAAATCTGCGTGTACACTTAAATACATGTGTACACAGTGATAAACTCATTTAACTTTTCAAATATTATGTAAATTTTACAGCCTAAACCTGCTTTTTTATTCTGCAACGAAGAAATAATATTTCATATGGCTAGTAACTTTACACTAGTACATTTATGCTGTATATTCTGTGATATATTTTAAGTCTCTCGTAACCCTTAACGGATGGCTCACTTGTATGTGAGTTGAAACTCAAATAAACAATATGTCTGTCTGTCTGTCTTGGAATATATCAACCAACATGATAAACAACAACAATTGATATATAACACAATTCTGTTCTCTGTATACACTGCGGTGTGGAACCGATAATATACATTTTCCACATTTTATTAGCAAACGCATATTCCCAAAATTATTGTAATTACTCAGTATAATATTGATCGACGTACCCATATCCTGATGCGTGTCTAATTAGCTTGCGCCGTTTCGATGTATGGCGGTGTTTGAAAGTAGTAACATGCGAATAGGGACGAATGATAGTTGGTTGGTTGGTTGGTTTGTTGTTTAACGCCGCACTCAGCAATATTCCAGCTATATGACGGCGGTCCTCAAATAATCGAGTCTGGACCAGACAATCCAGTGATTGATATCATGAGCATCGATCCACGCAATTGGGATCGATGACATGCATCAACCAAGTCAGCAAGTCTGACCACCCGATCCCGTTAGTCACCTTTTACGACAAGCATAGTCACCTTTTACGGCAAGCATGTGTTGCTGAAGACCTATTCTACCCCGGAATCTTCACGGGTCGATGAATGATAGAAACATGTACCGCCCTTATCGCACATGCCACATGCGCTGTCAGTTTAAGGTTGGTCCGGGTCAGCGCACCCAGCTGGTTAGAGGCAGGCATGATAAATTGAAAAAGATTGCCCATTAGGAGATATGTCAAGTTCCTTGTATAAATTGTTCACATGATGTTTACAAATAAAAGTGATAGTGTAAACACAATTTTTAATGGATAACAACTTCTTTAATACTGTGAGTATTAAATATATATATATATATACAGTATTAAAGAAGTTGTTAAAGAAGTTGTTATCTATAAAATTGTGTCTACCTTGTCATCCGTCAACTTCTAAGTAATGCCTATCAAACAAACAAAAATAAAAGTGATGTTGTTTGACGCATTGTCACAATTGGAACAATGACAATAAAATGTCACGCAATTAAGCAAGGCCTGTATGTGGTATTTTGTACCCGGCGAAGTGAATCCTTCCAACACCCTTGTTACAGATGGATGTCATTCAGTAGGTTCATTCTTTGGTATTACCAGCCTCTTGGCGCACACTTCAACAGCAGCCATAATTCATTGGACATTATAGTACTGCATGGTTTTGCATTGTTTCCGGCACTCTGAAATAACCGTCGAAACCTGCATTGTGGCTTGACTTGGCACAGAGAAGGCACTCTTGGTCTTAAGTGGGACATTGTCTGGTCACAGAAAACATACCGCCAATCTGCATCGTGACATTATTTTGACCTTCAGTGATGATTACTCAAATCCTCTACGATGATCGAACGTAGATATTATACCAGTGACCTTGACCTTGGTTACACAAAACCTTCCACTTCGACGACCAAACCTGGGGATGATACCAGTTACCTTTACCTTTCAAGATGGTTACAAAATACCATATCGCCTCGATAGCACAAAATAGAAATACTGTTTTCAGGAAACTCTTCTCGATATCATGACAGTAAAACATTTCAGTGTATGGCTTAATAGTTCGAATTTTGCGTTTGATATGAGCTCCAATTTTGAAGAGACTATTCAGCATATGAAACAAATATTATATCCCCTGGTGGAATTCAACATAAGCTACTCAATAAAACACATTGACATATAATCATAAATATTCAGCGTCAACGTCAGCATATTACCAGTCTTAGATCCACTGAAACAGATTCCACTGGGATTAAATGGCAAAATAGCGATGAACATTACATGAATGGATAATTAAAATCAGTGATGACGTCAGGTGCTCGAGAAAAGAGTACGTATAAAAGGTGACTATGCTTGTCGTCAGAGGCGACTGACAGGATCGGGCGGTCAGGCTCGCTGACTTGGTTGATGCATGTCACCGTATCCAATTGCGTGGATCGATGCTCATGATATCAATCACTGGATTGTCTAGTCAAGACAAGAATATTTACAGACCGCCGTCATTTAGCTAGAATATTGCTGAGTGGGGCGTTGAGCAACAAACAAACAAACAAAACAAACAAACAAACGTATATGGGCCAGAAAATCCAGTGACACGATAGTGAATGTACTGACTTTGTTGTAGTTGTTGAGACTAAACTATGTGTTAATTTTGAATTACGCCGACAGTTTTAATGTATCGTCTCATGCATTTCTTTTGAAGTTGAAGTCTATATCGTAAGCATGTATTCATGAATCACTATCAAATAGTGATGAAACCAAGTGTTCGGGAAACGGTGAGCGTACCCTGCCCCACCTCACCTTCTCTGTGACATTCATGTTGTACACAGGCCTCTCGCGTCCTTGTCAGTTTGTGGCCTTTTCCTTAGGATAATATGTGCGAAGTTTCATCATCCGACAGTAATTCTCGAGTGTATTCGTAAATAAAACATTTTTTTATGCAGAGATTTCTATTGGATATGGAAAGGGTTTTGAAAAGCCTTCCACAGGCCTATTAAGGTTATGTGTATGATGTCCCAGAGAAATCCAATAAAAGCGACAAAGCCTTTTCCATAATTGTAAGCTAGTTCTGCTAGTTCTGCTTGTGCTAGTGCGAGTCCATGGTAAGATTCCCTATATTTCATAATAATGTGTTCATGAATCACTACAGTGTAGATACCAGGTGTTCGCAAAATCACCCTTTACTTACACAAGTTAATTGTTCACCTTAAATAACACGGAACATGTGGTACAAGTCAAAATAAGGAATTGCATTGGACATCATTTTGTTCATTGTTGCTTCAAATTTGGAAACTTCCTCCACATGTCCATCATAAAACCTTTTGAAACATTTACTAAGGCCTTGCAAACTGTAGCACTGATCAACCAATTTTAGCGCAAGCACCGCTTGGTTTAAAAAATAAGTGTGTCTGCGGTCAAGTTCTGACACATCATCCTTGAAATTACCAGCTGAATCTCAAGGATGCCTTTCATCAAACAAAGACTGCAAATTAGGAAAAGCTCTAAAAGCAGTGTGAATTACATCGTTTAAACTGAATTAAAGTCGTAAACTATTTAATATCGTCACAGGACATATTTGGCAACGTGAGTTGAAATTCAAAATCTCAGAACCGTAAACACAAACATAATCAGGGCGACTGAGAAATATACTATTTCCCTCCAACAAATAGAGAAAATCTGTTCATCTCTCCATCTTTCTATCATATTATAATCAAAGATATCAGAAAGTTCTCAAACAAATATTATCATGCGTATTTAATAATTATTTTTTGACGGTGTTCTTGTAGTATGCTTCTTTCAAGCACACTCTGCGTTGATCAATAACGAAGTATGTTCAGATTAATGTGCTTTTATTCATCTTCAGTACGGACATTACATGGCGACAACAGATTGTAAACCGTGGAGACAGCTCCGTGGAAATCAGGGAATTATACCAGAATATATATCAAACCAGCAGAGATATCAAATACATTTGTGGCAAATTTTCATTTCGAAATAGTTTTCTGGGAATGTAGTTTCCCATTAGTTTGGTTCATTGATTTGCAAAATTACTGAGCGGTTCCCCCCTCCACCCCTCCCTCCACCCCCACCCCCGGATATTTGCATTTTCTTTTCATCCATGTTTTCCTCGGTTGCCATTTTGCCTTCCGTGTTTCCCATGGTTACCGTGTTTCCATCCGTGATTCCCATGGTTACCGTGTTTCCATCAATGTTTCCCATGGCTAACGTGTCCCTTTCCGTGATGATCATCGTCATCGTCGTCGTCATCATCATCATCATTATCGTGCCCACCTGTAAAGTTCATGTGTTGTATTAATTCATTGGGCAACTGATATATACTGAACCGCAAAAGAAACGTCACCATGGATAGATATATGAGAAACCTTATTTGTCCAAACACTGTAAGCATACTTTGAGTCATGTTAAAAAGATGAAACTTGGCAAAACTGATCATCAAGGTTGAAATTAAAGTTTTAAATGTTCTCTCGCAGTGCTCAATGGGATTTAAATCGGGGCGAGGGCAGGCCACTACATGGTTCTGATGCCATTCTGCTGGAGGAAGTTTCTTGTTGCTCCTGCAGCGTGGGCACGGGCGTTATCATGCTGAACTGGGGGTTGCGGCGACGTGCCAAATGAGGTATGGCGTGTGGTCTCAAGCCTTGATCAATGTACCGAGCTGCTGTGACACCACTGCCTCTCCCTGGATCGATGTTTTGGAAAACCACAGGGCCGACCCTCTGTGCAAGACCAATTCCACCCCACACCATGATGCTCGGACCACCCCACGAGTCTCTTTCAACAACACAAGCATCCGAATAACATTCCCCATGGCGTCGCCAGACTCTCTGCCATCGGCTGCTGAGATACAGTAACGGCTCTCGTCTGAGAAGAAGACTCTTCTCCACTGCTGGTGGCGCCAATGCTGGTGCTGTGATGCCCACTGAAGACGGTCCCACGGTTGCTCACTGACGTGGTATCAGAATGGGTCCTTGGTGTGGCCTGTGACAGTGGAGGTGTCTGCTCGTCAATCGTCGACGCACGTTGTCCGCACTCATGTGTCGCTGGTGTGTTCCCATGATCTGTTGCGCAGTTTCCACGCCGTGATGCGTTTAGGCGATCGGCTTTGTTGTCACCTGCTTTGCTTTTTATCATCAAATCTCATTTTTCCGGACAAGGTAATGTTAAATTTTAGAAACTTTGACACACATTACCCTGATATTTAAATGACAACTTTTCATGCAATGTTACTTGGGGTGACGTTACTTTTGCGGTTCAGTATATTAACTTAATACTGAGGGAACTTTACCTTTACCAAGTTCATTAAAGTTGATTTTACCCGCTGCTTTACTCACTATTTGGTATCTCCAGAGGAGCTGGTTCATGTCCCGGTAAAGCCATGTTTTAAACCACTTCCAAATACATAGAAAAGAGCTGGTTCATGTCCCAGTAAAGCCATGTTTTAACCACTTCCACATACATAGAGAAGACCTGGTTCATGTCCCAGGAAAGCCATGTTTTAACCACTTCCAAATACATAGAGAAGAGCTGGTTCATGTCCCAGTAAAGCCATGTTTTAACCACTTCCGAATACAAAGAGAGGAGCTGGTTCATGTCCCAGTAAAGCTATGTTTTAACCACTTCCACATACATAGAGAGGAGCTGGTTCATGTCCCAGTAAAGCCATGTTTTAACCACTTTCGAATACAAAGAGAGGAGCTGATGCAAGTCCAAGTTTACCTATGTTTTAACCACTACCGAGTACCTCCAAACTGTTGTTGTATATTCCAGACAAGCCATGTTTTACCCTCTACAAAGAAGCCGGAGAAAAGCTGGTGCACGTGTCAGTTGACCTATGTTTTACTCATGACGCAGTTAAGGTTTTCTAATACATTTTCCATTCCAAGATATGACATTTTAATCCTCAAAAGGAACTAAATTGTTCTTATGAGCTTTTCAAGATTGTTACCGTGATTCTTTCCGTGTTTTCCTCGGTTACCGTGTTTCCATCCTTGTTTTCCTGGATGTCCGTGTTTCCATCCGTGTTTTCCGTGTCCCTTTACATGGTGTTCATCATCATCGTCATCGTCGTCGTCATCATCGTTATCATCATCATCATCATCATCATCATCATCATCATCATCATCGTGTCCACCTTTAAAATACATGTTTTATATTAATTCATTGGGCAACTGATGTATTTATTTAATACTGAGGAAGTTTTAACTCTACCAAATTCCTTAAAGTTTATTTTTACCCACTACTTTACTCACTATTTGGTACCTCCAGAGGAGCTTGATCGTGTCTCAGTAAAGCCATGTTTTAACCACTTCCAAATACATAGAGAAGAGCTGGTTCATGTCCCAGGAAAGCCATGTTTTAACCACTTCAAAATACATAGAGAAGAGCTGGTTCATGTCCCAGTAAAGCCATGTTTTAACCACTTCCATATACATAGAGAAGACCTGGTTCATGTCCCAGTAAAGCCATGTTTTAACCACTTCCATATACATAGAGAAGAGCTGGTTCATGTCCCAGTAAAGCCATGTTTTAACCACTTCCATATACATAGAGAGGAGCTGGTTCATGTCCCAGTAAAGCCATGTTTTAAAAAAACTTCCAGATACATAGAGAGGAGCTGATGCATGTCCAAGTTTACCTATGTTTTAACCACTACCGAGTACCTCCAAAACGTTGCTGTATATTCCAGTCAAGCCATGTTTTACCCTCTACAAAGAAGCCGGAGAAGAGCTGGTGCACGTGTCAGTTAACCTATGTTTTATTCATGACGCAGTTAAGGTTTTCTAATACATTATCCATTCCAAGATATGACATTTTAATCCTCAAAAGGAACTTAATTGTTCTTATGAGCTTTTCAAGATTGTTACCGTGATTCTTTCCGTGTTTTCCTCGGTTACCGTGTTTCCATCCTTGTTTTCCTGGATGTCCGTGTTTCCATCCGTGTTTTCCGTGTCCCTTTCCATGGTGTTCATCATCATCATCATCATCATCATCATCATCATCGTGTCCACCTTTAAAATTCATGTTTTATATTAATTCATTTGGCAACTGATATATTTACTAAATACTGGGGAAGTTTTAACTCTACCAAATTCCTTAAAGTTTATTTTTACCCACTACTTTACTAACTATTTGGTACCTCCAGAGGAGCTGGTTCGTGTCCCAGTAAAGCCATATTTTAACCACTTCCAAATACATAGAGAAGAGCTGGTTCATGTCCCAGGAAAGCCATGTTTTAACCACTTCCGAATACATAGAGAGGAGCTGGTTAATATCCTAGTGAAGCCATGTTTTAACCACTTCCAAATACATAGAGAGGAGCTGGTTCATGTCCCAGTAAAGCCATGTTATAACCACTTCCAAATACATAGAGAAGAGCTGGTTCATGTCCCAGTAAAGCCATGTCTTAACCACTTCCACATACATAGAGAGGAGCTGGTTCATGTCCCAGGAAAGCCATGTTTTAACCACTTCCAAAAAGACAGAGAGAAGCTGATGCATGTGTCAGTTGACCCATTTTATACCAAAGACCCAGTCAAGTTTGTGTCATATACTCTTCAAAAAAAAGAAACAATAATACGTATATTTTTGGCCATAAAAGCAAAATTAGCGGACCAAGAGGTGCAAACTGAAAAGGTTTAATGTGTCATAGTGTCAGTGACAAATTTACCGGATCAAAATGATCACATCAAGGACATGCAAATCATTAGTCGGTAAACACGTACGATTAGGAAAAACGCACCCAGTGCATTAACAATAGGGCCTTGGAACTGCACGTGCAGTACTATGTACGGTATGAAATTGCAGGGTTTTGAGTGCCTGCCATCTGCCCTAATGGAACGGTGGCAGTTCAACAGCATGCCAAGATTATCAGAAGTGCAAATTAACAACGTCACAGGCCACTTGCCGGCAGTGGCATCCCGATCAGCTGTAGCCAGGGTTTTCAATGTCACGCCCAGCAATATCACAAGGCTATGGGATCGGTCTCAACAGCATGGATCATCACGTGATCGGCCAAGGTTGGGACGACCAAGAGTAACCACACCCGCCCAAGATCGCTACATCCGACTGTGCCACCTACGTAAAAAGACGACCACAGCCACCCCAACCGCATCCAAAATACCCGGATTGCACAGAATCTCCGATCAGACCATACGAAACCGTTTAAGAGCAGAAGGTCTACAAGCAAGACATATTGAGTCGACAATATCGTAGGGTATGGCCTCAACTGCGATGGAGAGATGAAAGGTTCAGCGACGAATCAAGATTACTCCGCCATTGAGGGGATGGAAGAGCACGGGTCTACAGACATCGGGGAGAACGTTACGACGGAAATTGCGTACAGGAAGTGGACAGGTTTGTGGGGGGTAGCATTATTATGTGGGCGGACATCTCTCATCATGGTAGGACAGGATTGGTCCATATCAAGGGCAATCTTACGGCACAATGATACATCAACGAAATTCTCCTACCACACGTCCTCCCTATTGCAGCCAACAGAAACGGTGTTTTCCAGCAGGACAACGCTCGACCGCATACGGATCACAAGAGCCTGTCTCCACAACAGCAACGTTGATGTTCTCCCCTGGCCCTCCAGATCCCCGGATTTAAACCCGAAAGAGCACCTGTTGGATGAATTGGATAGACGGCTACGCCGACGTCAACAACCCTAGACGTTGCAGCAGTTGGCTTTTGCGTTGCAAGCCGAGTGGGCTACCATTTCTCAGGATGAGATTCGCATACTCGTCTCTTCCATGGGCAGGAGATGTCAGGCCGCTATCGATTCCATCGGGGGACATACACTTTACTGATAAGTAGCTGACCGCCACCTTGGACTTCTCATATGTACCGATAACTGAGATGACTACAATCACCAAGTGTTCTCTCCGTAACATTTTGGCTCAATACCTTGTACGGTTCCTCGTATAAATGTAGTTTCCTACCTCACACAAATCTGGCTTAGCGTTTCAGTTTTTAAGTAGTATACATTATCCATTTCGAAGATATGACATTTCAATCCTCAATAGGAACTAATTTGTTCTTTTGAGCTTTTCAAGTTTGGTACCCTGATTCTTTCCGTGTTTTCCTCGGTTACCGTGTTTCCATCCGTGTTTTCCTTTAACATGTCCCTTTCCGGGGTGTTCATCGTCATCGTCGTCGTCATCGTCGTCGTCGTTCGAGGCGGTGTTCGAGGTGGCGTTCGAGGCGGCGTTCGAGGCGGCGTTGTCACTAGCAACATCGTCCTCGTTTCCACCTGTTGTATTGATGGTTTTTCTATATCATTTTCTATGGACATACGTGGATACATACGTGTGACAAGGAATATTATGGATAACAACTTTTTCGTTGCACATACACGGTGTTTCAGGACTACTTCTAAATCATTCATCAGGTAAATGATGTCACTCTGAAAGGTCGTGACTGCACAATAAATAAGTTGCTATCCCTAATATTTCTTGTCAAATGTATGACTAGACATCGTACATGAACAGTTATGACCTGAGGTGCATTGTTAAATAAGCTTTATTGTATTGCGTGAAACCTTATGTTCATATTTACCACTGACATCTTAACAGGGAAAAATATGAAAGATCAACATTTCACTGTCATTAACTGTTGTCATGACATTCTTATTTGAGGCAACTAATAAAAGTCTCTACTTTGGTGTGGTACTAAGGGGGTGTTGTGTACTAATTTGATTTAGATTGATCATACATTGTTCTTTCTTACGAACGACTAAAATGTGCATAAGAAAACAAGGAAAGCTGCTATCGACCTGTTAACCCAAATGTGTAATGTTTTTATACATGAGTAACAACTGAAATGGTATGACTTCATGATCCATCACTATGCATACACTGTTGCATTTTGGGCGTTATATCTGATTAGATCCAGAATGAACAAATGCCATATTTACTGAGTGAGCGTCCTTGAATATATGGTAGACTCAGCAGCACCGTCCCCAGCATCAGCATCAACAGCCACAACCTCATAGTGACTGAAACAACAACATGACGACATGAATCGTTTTCTGTCAAGGCTATCTTAAAATATGTTGTGTGCCATTGTGTGCCAAACTTTGCTTTTAATCCAGTTTTATAAAATGCATCCTGAACAGAAAGAGGTCAATTAGTATTTATAATTTGCCTCCAATGCATTTATGAGATAAACAAACATTTGATAACTGTGACAAATTACACTATTCTCTGTAACATCATGGATGCGGGTGAAACTGCGCTGAATACTTTATTTGAACAAACAAGTTCAAAGTGAAGGTAGTAACGAACTGGTATATTTATCATCTTACATGTCCTGATTGTTTGTCTCACCTGGGCACTTATGGTTTTGTCTATCTCAAGAAAGGTAAAGATGTTCTTAGAGGACTCTCAGGGATGCTTCAGATACCTGCAATGATGGAAGACATACAACCTGCACTGTAAATCGAGTTTAGTTTATTACACACCACATGTTGTCTATGTCAAGTATTTTGTGTATGGAATACCACATGACCCAACATGACCAATGTATGCTACTGATTATGTAGACCTCAGTCAGGAACTTGACTTTAACCGTAGTCTCCTCATGCGGATGTAATAACAGTACTGGAAGGTGGGAGAAAATGGATGGATCCAACAACTAAACCAGTTGCTCTTTGGGTAGGCTAGCACGGTATAGCGCACTCATCACGTTGTAGACAAGGGTTCGATTCTCTGCATTGGTACAACATGTGATGTTGCTCAGGAAGCCAGGTGGTTAAAGTGTAGACACCAAATTCCCATTCCCATAATTTGTACGTGCAAAGCTCATTGTTAATGTCTCATTGTGAGATATGGCTGGAATAATGCTAAACGTGTAAAACTCAGCTCACTCACGCACGCACGCACGCACGCACGCACGCACCCATGCACCCACGCAAGCACGCACGCACGCACCCAAAACCACTCATTCACTCACTCACGCACTCACTCACTCAGTACTCCCAAGTAGTGTACTCCCCAGTAGTGTACTTAGGCCAACCTGCACCCCATGCTTTAAATGAAAATATGAACTCACCTACCCACAGTCCGCGCTGAATGATCACGTTGACAAAGAATGTAGGAATATATAGGTTCATCCCAGGAAGACATAGTCACGTGTAAGCGTGCAGTGAAAACGAGGGAGCTCCTGACTGCCTAACGAATGTCAACAAAAACGTAACCAAGCGATGTGTCACGTCGAGAGCTGAGGGACTGTGATGTGTTTGGAATTGTTTTTATTTGTGTTGGAATGAAATTTAATGTTGTTTGGCTCCTACCATCACAGAAGAAAGTGCTCGATTTGAAGCAGTGGGCGAAAAACAACATCCAACTATAATTGCAGCCACACCGCACCCCTCTCTGACGATTATCGCAGCCAAACCTCTCCCACCCTGCACCCTACTCTGACTGTAATCGCAGCCACTCCACTCCCATCCCGCACCCCGCTCTGACTATAATTGCAGTCACCCCACTCCCACCCCGCACCCCGCTCTGACTATAATTGCAGTCACCCCACTCCCACCCCGCACCCTACTCTGACTGTACTCATAGCCACCCCGCACCCGACTCTGACTATAATCATAGTCACCCCACTCCAATCCCGCACTCTACAAGTTTTTACAAAATTGACAGAAAACCTTCTTAGCTCTTGTTGTAAGTTTAATTTACTTGTGAATAATATTCCAAGGTATTAATAATCCCGGCACTATTTATATAATCCCATTTGGTTATCCTCCTTTTCTAAAAAATATAATAATTGTCTTATCAAAGTTTACTTCAGATGCCATTTATCCGAGTAGACTGATAGAACATCCAATTGTTTCTGTAACCCCGATATTGTGCTGGACATAAGAATTTCATCATCTGCAAACAGGAATATGAAACGTTCCATTATGTTGGGAAATGATTGGCCTCGATGTTTCCATTGATGAAGAATGAAAAAAGTTAAGGACTCAATACACATCCTTGGCGTAGACCGATCGGCCAGTCAGTCATACCGTTGTAATATCGAACACATGATTTAGCATTTTCCATTCAATTTTTGTGTTTTTGTAAATATTACCATGATCGCCGTCAATCCACACAATCGAATGCCTTTGTTCACAAAGGCAACATATAGTTTACGCTAATTATATGATAGGTACTTTTCAGTTACTGCGTACAGATTGAACATGTGCTCAAATGTTGAATAGCCTTTCTTGAATCCGGCCTGTGCTTCGGATATTTGATTTCGCATGTTTTACCACTGAATTAGTATGTTTGTCACATACCTTGCCTAAAATATTTTGTTAAATCATTTCATAAGAATAGAGTATATAGAATATAGAGAATATTCCTCTTCCACTCCGCTCCCCACTCCCCGCCTCCCCCCCGAAACCAGACTCCGCACACAACCCCTCACCCAACACCCACTCTGCATCTCAGTCAGACTTTAATCACAGCCATCCCGCACCCGACCCCGCAAGCTACTCCCTCCCTGCACCCCGTTCAGATCATAATCACAGCCATCCACACCCAAACATGCAACCCACTCCAAACCCACAACCCCACTCAGACCATAATCACAGCTATCCTCCACCCCACTCCCAGCCCCGCAATACTTCAACCCCCAACCCTACACCACACCGAATATTAAATGGAGCTACATCTGCACAAACTGAGTCAGCCTCAAACAGCATCTGAAGGAAGACAAGGGTCTTCCATTAACTTTCTAACCCCCACTTTCCTTAACATTATGGAGGGGCGGTTTGGTAGCCTTGTGGTTTAAAAAGCGTTCGTTTGTCACGCGGAAAAACCGGGTCCGATTCTTCACTTGGGTACAATATGTGAAGCCCATCCCGTGTGTCCCCCGCCGTGATATTGTTTTAATAATCATAAAAGCGGCGAAACCCACATTCACTCATTTAACATCGTGGGCAGTTTTAATAAGAACATTTTTTTATAAGGTCACATGCGTGTTCATTCGGTTTCATTACAAAATGAAATTTTACACATCATATATGCAATGTCCTTCTTATATCAAACCTGCTTTACAAATTTGTCATAATAATTATGCCGGTCTATGTTTGTTAGTTTGTCCACGTGTCAGTATGCTGAGACACAGGGTGTATCTTTTCCGTCTTCAAGTAACATACATCGCCAACCTACATTGCATTGTACTGCTTGCCCCTGATCTGGATTGACGTCATGAGGCACCATTAAACATTTTTCGCGGTTTTTCGTACAGCATATTCGACATTTACTGCTAATATGCGCACATAATAAATAATAAATTAACTATCCTAATAATTAAATAAATGTGGAAACAGATACCCTGGTTTGGGAGTGTAATTATTCATAAACAAATTGTTGTTAAGGTGTGACGAGATATATACAAATGGTTGTCAAGGTGTGACGAGACATATACAAATGCTTGTCTAGCTGCTCTGTGGCATGTACACGCATTTAGTCCACATATTTGCGTATCCCTGGTAACATCCAAACTTCGTAATCCATGTTAATATACACAATCTCAGAATAGATCCGGTCTCTAGATACACAAGAGGCACAACACGTTATCGGTGAGTGAGTGAGTGACTGAGTTGGGTTTAACGCGGCTATGTATTCCAGTTATATCACGGCGTGTCAGCTCGAAGGAATTGCAGGACTTAGACGTTTGGGGGAAACCCACGAGCACGGGTATGGTGCTGACAAACCTAAAAAACATGATCGGGGCGAACCCACAATAACAGGTTCCTTGCGTTCCCAGGGGGCGCAACTCCGTGAGCCTTAGACAACTGGGCCACCAGTGCCCTCAACAAGTATTCAGACACAAAAGAGTCAACATAGAGGACATTCTGTATTCACGTCTAATATTCCAGTAGAAACGACTGAACCCTTCCGGACTATATCTTAAGCATCACTATAAAATTAATAGTGATGATACCAGTTTTTCGCGAAAAGGGGAGCGTATTCTGAATCCCTCACAAAGTGTTCACATGAGGAAACGTGGGGCCGTATGGGACATGTCAATTCAGGAAATTGTCTACATGTATATAGAGGTTATCACGCGAGTGTGTTTGGGGATGGTAAATATCCTGCATTAGGAATAAACATTGTATTTAGCGAGCCTTGGCGAGCTAAATACATAGTGTTTATTCCTAATGCAGGATATTTACCATCCCCAAACACACAAGCGTGATAACCTCTTTATCATATAATGTCATTCTTTAATTCTGTGCTTCAAAATCGCTTTCCCTCTCTCACAAACAATACCGAAACATTGCAAGTTTTCCTGGAATGCGCGCATTAATATTTATTACGTCTGAGGGTAAGTGATGTGTCAGTCGGACAGTGACAGTAGCCAATATAGTTCCAACTGAAATCTCTTTCTTATACAGTGGCGAAGCAACATATACGCAATGGGTGTTTTTAATTGCCTTTCGCGGCAATCCATCGGTCTGTCTGCTGGAGTAACTGCCCTTTGTCAAAGGGAAGCTACTCTAATCCTAGTCTATGAGACGTCACAGCCACGGTCAGACGTTGTTGACAGTCGGTCTGTCCTGTCATAACGTTAAGAAGTGTAGTCAGATGTACACACAGCGACAAAACGAAACAAGGTAACAATTTAAACATATTTCGGCCAAATCCAAATATTTTAATTTGTGGAGGAAGGTTCAAGCCGCAGAGGACTACAAGCACAGATATGGCTACTGATCCCACTTTGCTAGGTCTCGTGGCCTCGCAAAATTGTGTCGAAATTTATATCTTCAAAGTTGCCAAAACTTATAAAATGCCTTAGCTACGTCACAGTTAGACACTGATTTTCAGTATATTAGACTGTTCTTTTGATAATGAAAGCAATTATCTCTGTAGTTTCTCCAGATTCCCGATGATTAATTCTGACTCGATCGCCAAAAAGTCCAGTAATTAAAAGGTCCAGGTTCAACAAAATTGATGGAAAAGGTTTATTGCTGGATTTTGGTGCCTTGGCACCTATACATTAAAATAAAAAATAGTTTACCAAAATCGGACATGGGGAACCATCCGAAAATAGGTCAAATCCAAGATGGCCGCCAACAAAAGTAATAATAGTCATAAACGTGGAACCAATAACAATAAAAACATTTATGATGAGTCTATCTATATTAGCTTGCCAGGATAAATGCAAAGGAATGTATATTTAACAATTTTGAAAGGAAAATTCACATACAAATTTAAAATAATGCTTCAAAATGACGAAAAAGTACATACATTTGTTAATGTCAGTAATTCTTGCAGAACATGAACCGATTTATTATAATGTTGACGTTTTACATATAAAATCATACAGTTTATTGTCTTCACATAAATAATCAAGTTAGAAACAAATATAATTGAAAAAAACCAAGGTATTCCCTTCTTCAAAATGGCGGCCGAGCATACAATGTTTTAAAGATAGACCTCAAGAACATAAAGGTATGTATAAGCTGTTTTTCTTTTATAGCTTAAATGAAAACTTGTATAATATATAGTTGATTGGCTCTAGAGAGGAATTACTGATGAAAATATGAACAAATATAAATATAAAATTTGAAACAGAGCCTTAAAATTAACATCAACATTTGTTTCAAGGAAAATCAAGGGAGATAATCCAAACTCCGGGAAGCAGTTATTTTTCTCAAATGGTATTAGCTTCTCAGAAACTTTATTAAAAGTTAATTCAGAAGATATAATCAAGACATTTAGCAAAAAAATCATTTGCTATAATCGGAAAAGCAACATTTGTATCTGTACACATGTCAACCATATTTCTATCAACTGTTACTATTCGCAGGTGACTATTCTCAACTGAAGGTGTCCTATGTAGATCAGAGATGGCGACTTGTTTGCTATGTATGGAACCAGTTAACCTGGACAAACCCCAGGATTATGTGAAGTTGATAGCAAAATGCTGCTGTAGCATTAATAACGCAAACAGACTGCACAAATTAGATGCACCAGACATCATATACAACTATAGCCTGTTGGTACACAGACAGTGTCGAAGTATGCATATAAATCCAAAGGCAATCAAAGTAGCTGAAACCTTTCGATCATATGTTTAA